AGCCGCAGGCCAGGCCCGCCCGCGGGAGCTGCAGATCGCCCGCCCCGCGGGGCGCAGCTCCAGGCAGTCCAGCTGGGTGCATCTGGCTGCGGAGATTAAATTATTTTTGAATTCCTAACCGAATGTTCTTTTAATGGAAACTTAATGACAGGCATTGAAATAGATTTCCTCCTTAAGCCTCCTCCCGCTGCGCCCCCCACGCGGCTCTGGGTCGCGCAGTTCCCGATAACCTTTATTCCCTGCCCCTGGACTTTTATCTCCCCAATGACAAACAGCCCTTGCTGGACAGAAAGAGGAAATTCCAGTCATTGTTCTCAAACTTCTGGCTTCCAAAATAAAATGCTCTATCTCCCCTGTCAAGCTTTGATTGACGTGCCCTTCCTGTAATGGCAGGCGACAACGGCCCAGGGGCGGGCCGGGGCTCATCAGCGTTCTTTCCTTCAGAGGTGATGGGGAAGATCCCCCATCCTACTCCCAACAGCGTCCTGTCTGATGACCCATCTCTCATTTTATGAAGAATCTCCAAGGAAGGTGCCTCGTGGGCCGTCCCTGCAATCCCATTTCACAGCCATTAACATGGAAACAGACACTCTAATCATCTCACTTCCTAGATTTGGCAACTTAGGATCTTTGTCTTCTACCCTTTCCCTCTTGAGGAATAAATAGTTTTTAGACGTTCAGCCCTTTCTATTAAAGAAAGTCTTCCAGATCTTAACTCTAAATATTGGAGGTTGGGTCTACCTAAGTCTAGGAAGGTTAAACCAGAATCAGACTCTCCAAGTCAAAATCCTCCAACCAACCTCCTACCATCAGAGATAAATTGGGCAATTCAAGGAGAATCAGTAGGAAGGAAAACTTTGCATATAGGAATGCATCACGGGATGCAGTTTTTCTTGAAGGGAATAGAAATATTTAATTGCTTTTATAATGGGTAAAATAATGAATATAATAATATGGCATACTTGCAGCAATAGCAGTATTGCTGTAATCAGATTCTATTGGGAAAAATGTTCCTGCTGTGGAATAAAAACTCCTGCCTTTAGCATTGACATTAACTTATAGGCAATTGGCCTTCTGGAGCTTTCGGTTTCCTATTTCTTTTCTTTACTCACTGAGCATCCATGTCCTTCTTAAGCCCCTTGCTTCAAATGTCCAAAGTTCTTATGCAGCTTTGGGGTTCCAGCCATCCCTTAGAACTCTCAAAAGTTACCTGTCTGGGCCTCATTTCCTAAGGGCTTTATTGGATATAAGTATGTTAATGGTTGCTGGAGGTTCAATGGGAATTTGCATGAATAAGAAGACTCCAAGTGCATAGNAATACCCATCAGAAAGATTCCAGTTGTCCAGCTCTCTTAACAATTAAAGAAGATGGATTGCTTATGATCGTTTTACTTCCAGCAATCCCCAAGCAAGCTCCCAATGAGCAGCACACACCAGAAGGCATGTGTCCAGATATGAATGACCTGAGTCAATACATATTCCCTCCAGTTTATAAATGACTACAGCATCACAAAACCTCATGAAAAAGGGCCAGCAGAGAATTCCAGCTCCTGCTAGCTCCAGCTTGTGACACCTGATTTCTTTTAGCTTTCCCAGCAAATTAAACTGTGGTACCAAAGCACTTATAGGCACAGAGTAATCGCCCAGGTGGGCCAGTTGTGTCCACTGTTGTGGCTACTGACAAAGT